TCCACGTTCACATAATAAGAGTATAAAATTCACAAATAATAATAATAATAATAATAGTTATTATTTTTAATTTTATAATTATCATTATTATTAAAAAAGATATAGCTGTAAATTTGTTATACGTATAACAATGAATATAAATATAGTCAATAGAATTGTTAAATAATAAGACGATATAAAATTGCGATTCTTTTATTTGTTATTTATTTAAGGGATTCTCTTCCAATTCAGTGAAATTGAGAAGTTTTATACTTTGATATATATAAACATGGTATATAATAATGGAGGTATACATATATGTACATACATTGTTTTAGCATAATCTTTATATATATATTTTTGTTTTTCATCTATGGCAATATTGTAATGGGTGATTTTTTGTAATGTCTTTAGTTTTTTAAATTTAATTTCCAATTCAACTTAATTTTTATTTAAATTGTTGCCATTAAGTTGTTGCCACATAACATAATTTTGAACATAATTTCATGTGATGAAATTGATCACATGGTTATACGATTTTGGGGGATTTATTTGAAAAACTTGTAGCAATTTATTGGTATATTTCAGTCAAACTATAGTCATACCAATTGTTCAATATTAAAAAATATTTTAAAGTACTATCAAAAATATTTTGGTAGCCAATCGATAGGCGTGAAATTATTGTAAAACGACTTGTAAAACCAAACATTCAGACATTTTTAATAAATTAAATAAAAATATAATTCAATAATTAGCAGCGTGAATCAAGCTGAATTGATTTAATTTTAACAACTGTAATGAATCACCCGTAAATTGTCAAAAATTAACTCAATCGAAATACTAAAAATACGAAAAAAAATCACTCTGTATAAATGTGTACGTATATACACTAATAATTTATGTACATATGTATGAACATGTATACAAACTTTCCTTTGTTTTCAATAAGTACAAATATTTTTAAAAGAAAACTTAATAATAGAAAGTTAAGAAAAATTTTCTTTCTTTTTATGTTTTCCTGTACAAAGTAAGTAAATAAAATTTTTCAATATTTTTTTTATTTTAAAGAAAAAATATAAGAATAATTTTAACATTATTTTGTATACATTTACACATACATATGTATGTGTAGAGGCATGAATAAATTTTAGTTATATACTTATATATATATATATAGAGTATGTAAGTATATATTGAGGGTACCCACCATTTTATACAACTTATAAATAATAATGTTTAATCAATTTTGAAGTGAAAATCAATTACAGGAATTTGATATCCTTTTTTCTTGCTTCTTTTTTTCTTTCGTTCTGTTTTCTTGTTTTCTTTTTCTTTGTGTAATAATGTCAGTGATTCAGTAAGAGTTTTGCAATTTTTAATTACTGTTTACATGTTATATGAAAATAAAAAAGTTATTTATAAAATTTTTAATTATTTAGATAATTTTTAATCCTCTAAAATAAGTAGTGTTTTGGGACACATTCGAAAATCACAAATTCTATTCTAAGTATAAATTCAATTCTGTGGATTCAAATCTATAATCCAACTAAATTTGATTCGATTTGAACAACACAAAGGTAGTAAAGTTATAAAATGAAAAAATTTCTAAATGGAAATTTTGAAGATGAAGCAAAATATCGAATTATTTAATAATACGATTGGATGGTATGATATTCCAGGAATGCTGGGTGCTCATTTTTCTTACTATATCAAGAGGTAAGTGGACAAAGGGGTGGTTAATTAACATTTTGACGAAAATCGAGCTGCTCTGATAGAACATAATTAAATTTCATATATTTTCAATTGTGATTATTTTTATAGTTATAGAAACTTAATAGAAGATGGGATTGACAGTGCACATAGAAGTTAAGTAACAAAAAAAATTAATATTTTTTACAATTTGTTAATGAAAAAAAGTGTTAGGATGCACGTCCACTTCATATTTATTATCTTTGTCCACTTCATATTACGATTATGTTACAGAAAATATAAAATAGGAATTAACAATATTATTTACAATAGGACTTTTTTTTATTTTAAATTGAGAAAGGAACGCGGAAGAAGAGGTTCTTACACTCTTTTATATTTAAATGTTTAATATTTTAGCGATCGTCTAATTTCAGCTAGTAGTCTGCGAAATTTTTAAATTACATTTTTGACATTTCAAATTGCTACATCATATGCCATCTATAGTCACTAATAATCAATTTAATACATAAACAATAAACAGCTAGTCTTAAAATTTTAATTATTTTGTTGGAAAATTTAACAAATTAAATAAAAGATTTTTGTAAAATTAAATTATAAATCTTAAAAAATTTTAGGAATAAATATAGACAGAAATTAAGAAATTTACTCCTACATAAATAAGTAACTGTAATATGAAAAAAATATATGGAAAGGATAAATTTAAAAGTGTAGGCCGAATTGCAAAATAGCAAATTTTTTTGTTTTTTTATAAAATACAAAATTTTAATAATAATAATAATGAAAAGAAAAAAAAAATAAAATAAATATTTTTGAAATAATGCAAAAATTTTGTCTTTTAAGCAAAATTAAAAATTTTTTTTTTGTGAAAATTTTAAAAGAAATTCGAAATGATTTTCTATTCTGTTTTTTTTTGTCTTTTGTTATGTTTTTATGCATTATTAATATTAGATACAGACATGTCCTTGGATATACATATATTTTTGTTTTACCCTTATATATATGTTTTTGTGTATGTATATACATATGTATACTTTAATTTAAAGTGATTGTTATTCTATATTTTATTGATCTTTTATATTAAAATCATGTCAAGCGTGCATATATTTTTCTTTTTTCAAAAATATTATCATTACCATCGTAACCAATTTTATTTTAATACAGTTAATAAATATAGTAAAATGAGATGGAAGGACGAAATCAGATGTTGCTTTGACACCAAAAATTATAAATACATACGGTATACAGATTGTCTCGTATCTAATTTTGTTTTTCCTTCTTCACTCACTCCTTAGAGGAGTATAGGACTAGTGAATGATATCACTAGTCCTATACTCCTCGTAAGTAAGTATAGTATATCTAAGTGCACTGTATAGACTCTTGTGAGTAAACAGAAAAACATTTGCAATAGTATACTTTTCGTAATAAAAAACTTTTCTTAAACTTTAAAAGGAATCTTAGGAAGGTGAAATATATACTAATTTAAAGCTTAGTTAACAGAGTTACCAACTGTGCTAAAATTAAGAGAAAGCTGCAATGATAAGTTTCCTAAAAAAATTAACATTTTTAAAAAATGAGAAGTTAAAATTGAAAATTTTTTAACTTTAAAGTCATGTTATTCTGAAATCTGAACAGATGAGAAAGTCCAAGTACTGACATTTCTAAATCATGATTAATAATGCAATCCATCTGATACAGGAATAAAAAGTAAAAGAAAATTGTGAACATCATCTCCAATACAAAAGTTTTGTCTACTAAAGCAGTGTTATACAATGACATTCGTATATACTGCATTTAGATACGAGCCACTCTGTATTTCTATGCATATTTTATAACACATACATTTATTACTAATTATTCTATTTTTATGTGGAAATTCAATAAGTATTTTTTACCTATATTCTCTATTAAAGATTATTATTTTATTTTTAAAATATTTTTATTATTATAATTCAAACTACTTGTATTGTATAACTACATGTATGTACGTATGTATGTAGGTATTCAAAATATATGTACTATAATTATTAATTGTTCTCGTTTGTGGAGTATTGGTTTTGACACCAAAATTGTATACAAAATTTTATATAATAAATTTGTGAAAAAAGTGGCACCCCATAGGTACATGAATTTATTAAAAATAAAAAAAAAAAAAAACTATAATTCATGTTAAAAAAAAATGTTCTTGTTCTTGTTTTTTTTATTTTTTTTTTTGCTTCTGTAGTAAAAAATTGGGACACGATTGTTTTTTATTGATTTGACCTGGTTCTTTAAAGTGTTCAATTCATTCTTAATTATAGGGTAAATACTTATGTATATGCCAATAATATTCAATTTCAAAATGTTTTTCTTAATTTTTTGGACAATTTATCCGCTTGTGTGTAGAATGTATCTACGTATATGTACGTACGTCCATACATAAATGAAATTTTTGTCAATAATTATTTCGATTTATGTCAAATATTCTACTTTTTTTTTCTCAATATTTTATAGTAAATTAATTTACTTTGTTTTTATTTTTTTCAAAATTTAATTGACATAATTTTTGGGAATCATATACGTAAATCTATAATGTTATTGTGACATCGATATGAAAGGGCCAATTTTTGTTCAAATCAATTTATTAAAAATCGATTGTCATAATATTTTTATTTTTTAAAATTTTAAATTTAAATTGTAATTAATTGTTAAACAAATGAAAAATATTAGGTTGATATTTCATTAAATTCATTATAACGATTATATTAGGAAAGTATTACAAAATCTTTATAAATTGGGATAATTTAGAATCAACGATCATATTGAGAAAATGATGATGAAAAATTGAATTATTTTTTGCTTTTTAATTTAAGTTGTGTAACTTTTTGATAATATTGATGGAAAATGGTGATATGATTTTCAAAATTCTCTATATCATCTTATAAGGACGCTTGTGTAAAGCTTTTAGTTAGCAAACCTAGAAAAATTTTAATTTGACTCTTAGGAGAAGTTCATTTTATGCTATTCGACTTGTTAGAAAAGTTTGTCAATTAATTTCTTAGATATGGTAAAAAATGTAAAATTGACTCCTAATTCGGTTTCCGAGTACTGATATTGCTAAAAAAAATTATTAGTTGATTGTTTTGTTTAACACCTTGAACAATAAAATTTTAAGGAAATTTGGAAGCCCATATTAAAAGTAGTCCAATTCTTCCACAAGTTAAATGGATTTTCGAATTGTCTGATTAATTGTAAAACTTAAACAAAATTTTAACTTAAAAATAATTTTATTTTTATTAATTTTTAAATATATATTTTTTTTTATTTCATTCTAGTGCCTTTATTGTTCATTCTAAATAGCTGTAATGGCTACATTATCATTGCGAATCAGTTTAGAGGGTGGCCGTGTAACGAAAACCATCCAATTTAATTCACAAACGACAGTTTTTGATGCATGCAAAATAATACGTGATAAATTTGCTGAAGCTGTATCTGGAGCACGTTAGTATTTGCCTCATTTATAATAAAAAAAAAAATAAATTTTAAATTGTGTGTATAACAATATAAATTTTTTTAAAAAAATAAATCAAAGCATTTGTCAAATAAATTATAACATCACATTAACACAAAAAAATTTAAAATAGTTATATTTAAAAATTACCCATATAAAATAATGATTAAAAAAAAAAAAATTTATTGAATTTTAGCTAACGAATATGGATTATTTTTATCTGATGAAGAGAATCGTCAAGGTGTTTGGTTAGAATCTGGTCGTTCATTAGGATATTATATGTTGCATAATCAAGATACATTAGAATATCGTCGAAAATTACGTACATTACGTGTTCGTATGTTAGATGGTGCTGTTAAAACGATATTAGTTGATGATTCACAACCAGTTAATCAATTAATGGTTGTTATTTGTACAAAAATTGGTATTACAAATCATGAAGAATATGGTTTGGTACGTGAAGAAGTTGAACAACAAAATGAAAATTTACCCGATAATAAATTTGGTACATTAACATTACGTAAAAAAATTGCTGAAAAAGATCGTGATGCAAAAATGGAAAGTTTACGAAAAAAATTAAAAACTGATGATGAAAGTAAGTGCAGACTTCTTTTTATTTGTATATAAGCTGAAAGCAAAAAATAATACAAGCAAGTACATGTGTAAATTCTCACACAAAGAAATTAATTCAAGAAATTTTTAGAGTCTAATATTAGCAGAATCACATCGAACTCTTATATTGGAAGTTAAAGTCTTAAAATTTTGTATGGGACCTCACATGTAGTTATTTGTATTGTTTTAGTGCAGATTATGCACCATATTATGTGTATGATTTTAGCCTGCGAATATCTTCCCGTAATATCAATATTTCACATTTATCCCGTATTTCACATTGAGAAATGTGATGTTTGATTTGTGCTTGTTTCGTGTAACCAGTTTTAACAATACACATGTCAAGTGAATATTATTTGCTCAACCAAATTTTCCTTTATCCTTATATATTTTTTTAATAAATTTTTTCTTACATGCTCTACTACATCATTTTAATTCTTCTCCTTTTTGCTTTTGTATTTTTTTTTTTTTGTTATTTTAGTCAATTGGGTTGATATTGGTAAAACATTACGAGAACAAGGAATTGATGAATCAGAAACAGTTTTATTACGTCGTAAATTTTTCTTTTCGGATCAGAATATTGATTCTCGTGATCCAGTGCAATTGAATTTATTATATGTACAGGCACGTGATGCTATTTTAGATGGTACACATCCAGTAACACAAGATAAAGGTAAATATTTATTTTATTTTTTTTCAGTTTTTGTTTCTTATATATGAGAACAATATATGAGAATTTCACCTTTAAGTTTATATTTACATATTTGAATATAATACCCAGGCAGTTGATAGGATTGAGATTTATTTTGGATTTTTACTTTTTTCATGAATGTTTTTAATAAATTCATGTTCAATTGTAATGTTGAATAGTAGAGAAAAATACGTGTTATAATATTTTTAAAAATTAGAAAACTTTAATTCTGAACATTTTTGAATGTTTTTTGATATTATTTAAATTTACCAAAAATAGTTTTTTTTTTTAAAGAAAGGATTTTATTTACAATGAGATTTGTATGTCTGATCTCTGAAAAAAACGCACGTGCATAATAAACTTAGTTGTTACAGTAACTTATCGTTTGTTCAATTTTAAGGGCGCAATAAGAATAACTAAAATTTTAATTTAAAATTAAATTTTATAAGTTCCGAAAATAATTCGTTTCCTCAGATCAGAATCATCCTATTAAATTTTCGTATTTGTTTTGTTGTTAACGTGGAAGCTTAAGCTCTGTCGAAAATTTCTCTGCCTTTTAAAATTATATACGATTTCTAACCATAAAGAATGGAATTGAAAAATTTATAAGCTTAAAATCGTAAAGGAAACAAATTAAAAAAAAGAAATTAAATAGCTTTTCTGAAAAATTTTTAAAATCCGATTTGTTGAAATGTTAAACAAAGCTTTTCGATTATAATGTTTTAAATAAATAATTTACATTTTCAAAATTGCCTATTGAAATACGAAAGAGCGCCTGATATTTTATGTAATTTTTAAATTGTTTTGTATTTTGAAATTCATAACTAACCTTTGAATTTTTTTTAGCTTGTGAATTTGCTGGAATTCAAGTGCACATTCAATTTGGACCCCATAATGAAGCTAAACACAAGCCAGGATTTTTAGAGTAAATATTTTATTTGCTTATTCACATTTTTTTCATAATCATAACTTTTTTTTTTAAATTTTCTTTTTTAAGTCTTAAAGATTTTCTACCTCAATCCTATGTTCGTGTTAAAAATATTGAAAAGAAAATTTTTGGTGAACATAGAAAACATGTTGAATTATCTGAAATTGATGCAAAAGTTTTATATACAAAAACAGCTAGAGAATTACCAACATATGGTGTAACATTTTTCTTAGTTAAAGAAAAAATGACTGGTAAAAATAAATTAGTTCCACGTCTTTTGGGTGTTACTAAAGATTCTGTTTTACGTTTGGATGAGAAAACAAAAGAAATATTAAAAACCTGGCCATTAACAACAGTTAGAAGATGGGGTGCATCACCAAATACATTTACATTAGATTTTGGTGATTATGCAGATGCATATTATTCAGTTCAAACAACTGAAGCTGAACATATTGTTCAATTAATTGCTGGCTATATTGATATAATATTAAAGAAAAAGAAAGCAAAAGATCATTTTGGTATTGAAGGTGATGAAGGTTCAACAATGGTTGAAGAATCAGTAGCACCATCAAGGTAACTTATTTTAAAAAAAAATTACAGATTTGAATCTTTATAAATTTTGAAATTTAAATTAAAAAAAAATAAACTTTATTAAAATGTTGAATTTTTTTAGAGCAACTTTCTTTCAACATGAAACTAGTAAAATTGGTAAAATTAATACTGAATCTGTAGCTCATCCTGGAATTATGAGAGCTTATGATGGTAATTATTATAATAACATATTCTAAAAATTTTTAAATTATTATTAATATTATAATATTTACTACAACACATTATAATTAATAATTGCACAACATAATTAATCACATTTAAAAAAATTGTAAATATATTATGTTATTTATAAAGGTCTAAATTTACTTCATAATAAAAAATGACCATTTTAATTATTATTGAAAGCTTAATAGTTCGAAATGTCTATACAACAAAATATTTTAAAGAACGAAATAAAAATAAACTGCAATATAAGTATTCAAAAATTAATTAATTAGGCAAAATAATTATTTGCTTTATATCTAGGGTCTTATTTTCAAATTTATGCATATAAATACCTAGTAAATTTTATAACTCGAATTCAGATTTCAGCCATTAATTTAGTTTTTTGTCGAAAGAATTAATTTTCAAAATTAATTTTCATTATACTTACAATTAAATTAATAAAATTCTGCAAATTTGAAAATAAGAACAATTTAATTTTTTTATGTTTTGCCATTCGTTTTTATTTACCTCTCTAATTAATTCGTATTTTACTATTAATTTAATTTTTTATTTGGCATTATTTATTTTATACAAATTATATTTATTTTATACAATATTATTTCATTATTCTTCTTATTTTTGTTAATTTTTTTTTAAATAAATTTTTATTTTTAATTTTTGTTTTTTTGTTAATTTCGAAGGCGAAAAACCATTTACACAAAATGAAATGCAATCAGTACAATATGGCGCTATTGTTGGCACAGTTAATGTAGCCCATCAACCGCCAACGGTAAGATTTATTTTATTATTTATGAATTATTATTGTTAATATTTTGTTTTTTTTTTGTTTAATAATGAATTTGCTGTAAAATTGGCTTTTTTTTAGCTTTTTACTTTATTTCTAAAAAAAAATTTAATTTAATTTATATTTTTAATTTTCATTTTAAATTCAAATTTTAATAAAATCTTTCAATTAATTTTATTTTCATGCTGCGTTGTAACGGGCAAATAAATAAATAAATTAACAGTTCGTGTAGGTTTATAGATTTCTTTGTATAATATTTTAAGAATTAGTATTGTGTTTCTGTAAAAATTACCAAATTTTTCCCAAATATTGAAATATTTATAAAATCTTTTCAATTCCTTGATATTAAAATTAATTTTATTAAATACAATACACCTAAAAATAGAATGATAGTTGTTGAAAACTTAAATATGCTATGTACTTACTTAAAAATTACCAGAAATTATTATCCTTTTTAAATTTAATCATGCTATTAGTTTTCCATTATTTTTTAAATATTGAAAAATTTTCACAGAAGCATCATACTATATGTTAAAAGTACGTCGTGTTAATTGAGAAAAAAATTGGATGCTTTTTCAAAATTTCGAACTTTCAACTTACAAGATAATTTATTATCTATGATTACAACTTCATAATTACAACATTTGTTAAAACCGCTTCCAATTATGTAATTAAATTAGTTCAATTTACATCGAAAATTACAGATTAACTCAAACACATAAAACATAATTTTTTTTTTAAATTTTTATATCATAAAGTATTACATAAAGATATTTTATTTGTAGACTCAAGAAATTCGTATAAGCGAAGTTCATTTAAGTGAACCACAACGTGCCTTATTAGGTTATATATCAGCTGGACAGGAAGCTATTCAAAGAGCTGAAAGAGAACTTGAATCTAAGGTATTTTTGACTTTATTTTATTTGATTTTTACTTAATCAAAATTTGGTTTTTAGATTGAATTTCTTGAATTGGGTTCAGATCCTCATTCGATTGAATGGCGTGAAACAACATTGGAAACATCTAAACAAGCCGTTACAACTCATGTGGCTACAATGAATGCAGCAACTGCACAAATTGTTACAGCTGTAACTCCAGATGAAGTTGATACAGAAGCAATTGGATCAGCTGTAACGCAAATTACACAAACCATACCTGAAGTAACTAAAGAAGTGAAATTAATAGCATCTTTAATGGACGATGATAATAGCGGTGAAAAACTTTTAGACGCTACACGAAGACTTTGTAATGCATTTAGTGATTTGTTAAGAGCAGCTGAACCAGAAGGAAAAGATCAACGTCAGAACTTAATAAATGCTGCAAGTCGTGTTGGTGAAGCAACAACAATGGTATTGAGCACAATTGGGGAGGAGACGCCTGAAAGTCGTGATATGTATGATATGCTTTTAGCTTTAGCAAAAGCCGTCGCAAATGCAACTGCTGCATTAGTTTTAAGAGCCAAATCTATTGCAGCCAATTCAACAGATGAAGAAAGTAGAGATCGTGTAATTGGTGCAGCGGGTCAATGTGCTTTAGCTACAAGTCAATTAGTTGCTTGTACGAAGGTGGTTGCTCCAACAATACAAAATCCTGCTTGCAAAGAACAGTTAGAGGAAGCAGCTAGAGAAGTAGCTAATACTGTTCATCGTTTAGTTGATGTCTGCAATGAAGCAACCGTAGATGAACGTTTAAAAGGGGATTTGGTCGCTGCTGCTCGAGATGTATCTGAAAAATTGAAAGATCTTCTAAGTCACATTAAAAAACCGAACGCTACTGAAACATCAAATGTATTTTCCGAAGAAGTCGAAAGTGTAATTGTGGGTACAGAAATCTTGGCCTCTTCAACTGATCCTCAAGAAATGGTACGCCATGCGAAATCATTAGGTCAAGCCACTGCTCATCTTATACAAAGTATTAAAGGAGAAGCCGAATCACAAGATGATTCTGATTTGCAACGTCGTTTATTAGCTGCAGCAAAGCAGTTGGCAGATGCTACCGCAAAAATGGTTGAAGCAGCTAGATTATGTGGCAGCAGCCCACATGAAACAAAACATCAAGAAGCTTTGAGAAGAGCTGCAGAGGAATTGCGAGAGGTAACGACAACTGCTGTGAATACACCAGCCCTCAAAATAAAATTAATTAATCGACTAGAAAATTGTGCCAAGCAAGCAGCTTCAGCTGCCACACAGTGTATTTCCGCCGCTCAGAATGCTGCCCAACACAGTGAAGATCATCAAACTAAAGAAACATTATTACAAGATTGTAGAAATGCTGCCGATTCTATACCAAGGCTGGTTACAGGAGTCAAGTCTACTCTAATGAGACCTGAAGATGGAAACGCTCATTTGAATTTGATCGAAGCTGCGGAAATGTTTATCGAACCAGCGAGTCAAATGGCATCTTCTGCCCGCGCGTTGCAACCAACTGTGCAAGACATACCAGCTGCTCAGCAGCTATCAAAATCTGCTCTGCATCTAAGTCACACTATTCACGAATTAAATTTATCAGCACAACGAGCACGAGAGGTTTGTGGTGGACAGGAATTAGAATCCGCCCTAGAAGCTATAAAGAATTTAAGAACTGTTCTCAATGATACACGTGAAGCAGCAATTGAAGGAACATTAAGACCTTTGCCTGGTGAAACGGTCGAAAATACTGCACAGCAGCTAAGTAAGTCAGCAAAAAATGTTGGTATAGCTTTGAGTCAGTTAATATCAGCAGTTTCTCAAGGCCAAAGAATGTACGCAGGCGTAGCTGGAAGAGACACTGCTTTAGCCCTTGGTGATTTCACCAGAAGTGTTCATGGGGTTGCTGCTACTACTAAGAATCCCGTTATAATAGATGCTGCAGATGAAGTTATTGTTAATTCTGTACACTTACTTGAAGAAGCACAAAGAAATTTGCAAAACATTGGAAATATCGAAAATTTAAGTCGATCGGCTAGAGATGTATCTGCAGCACTTAATAAAACGGTTGATTGTATACCTGGTCAACGTGAAGTAGATGACGCTTTAAGAAATGTTAGTGAATTGAGTGAAATTTTATCTATGGGAGAATATCCAGAATCAAATAAAAGTTACAATCATTTGCAAAACGAGCTTAAATTAGCTGCCGAGAACCTTAATACTTCTGGACGAGAAATAGTTCAAGGATATGCAAGTCCTCAGTGGTTAGCAACTTCTAGTCAAGCTTTCAGTATAGCTTATAAAGACATGTTATCAGTTTCTATGGAAATGGCCGGGCAAGCTAAAGATGAAACATCAAGAACTACAATGCTTGAATGCTTACGAAATGTTTCGACACAATCGTGTAGTTTACTATCAACTGCTAAGTCAATTGCTGCTGATCCAGGGCAACCCAATTCCAAAAATTTATTGAATGCTGCTTCTAGAAGTGTAACAGACAGCATTAATAAACTAGTTGATTGTAGCGTATCATCAGCTCCAGGTCAAAAAGAATGCGATAACGCAATACGCAGTATAGAATCACTTCGGGTTATGTTGGATTACCCTCATGAACCTGTCAATGAACTAGGATATTTTGACTGTGTTGAAAACGCAAATGAGAAATCTAGGAATTTGGGTTACGCTATTTCCGAAATGATAAATAATGCAAAACAATCACAACATGTCGAATTTGGACATTCAGTAAATTCTGTATCAGACTCTATACATGGACTTATAGAATCTGCAGCTCAAGCTGCATATTTGATTGGAGTTTCACATCCAAGTAGTGTTTCTGGTAGACCAGGTAAAATTTTATTTAGTTTTAATCAAAATTAGTTTTAATAAATTTATAAATTGGTTAGGTATTATTGATCAAGCACAATTAACTAGAGCTTACCAAGGCACACGACAACATTGTGATATTGTCAGTAGTCCACAATCCACAAAACAACAAAAAATCGCAGCCTTAACTGTTATTGCCAAACACACCTCATACTTGTGTACTATCTGCAGGCAAGCAAGTATGAATACAACAAATCCGGTAGCGAAAAACGAATTTATTGTTGGAGCCAAACATGTAGCTAATGCAACATCTGATTTAGTCCAAGAAGTAAAAAGTTTGGAAGATGATTATTCCGTACCATCGAGATCAAAATTCGTTGAGCCTTTACTTGATGCTGTTAAGGCAGTAAGGCAATACGCATCTAGTCCGGAATTCATTTCTATACCTGCAAAAATATCGGCTGAAGGACGTAAAGCCCAAGAACCGGTGCTGTCAGCGGGAAGGGGAGTGCTTGATGGAGTTGTGGAAATGGTTAAAGCTGCAAAATCTTTGGCAGTTTCACCTAATGATCCACCAGTATGGCAACAATTAGCAATGCATAGCAAGCCGGTGTCAGAAAGTGTAAAACGGTTAGTGGACAATATTAAGGATAAAGCTCCAGGTCAAGCACAATGTGACCAAGTGTTACAAACTTTGGCAACTTGTACTCGGGAGTTGGACACAACTGCTTTAGCTGCAAGTTCTCAAGGTTTGGCACAGCGCAAAGATAACAATTTACAAGGTTTTATTGGTCAAACATTAAACGCTGCCGCTGAATTGCTTGATAAATTAGAACCTATAAGAATCGCTGGAAAACATAACGCAGAACAGTTGGGTCACGCTGTTGGTGAAATCTCTCGTTATGTAGTACCAATGACAAATGGGGCGATTGGTGCTTGCACTCATATTGTTCACACTAACCAACAAATAACGTTGATCAATCAAACGAAATCTGTTGTGGAAAGCGCTATTGAATTGGTGCAGTCTGCTAAAGAATCAGCTGGAAATCCAAAAGCTGTTAAAGCACATCCAATGTTGGATGATTCTATTCAAAATACAAGGGAAGCTATACAAGAATTAAATCAAACAGCTGAAAAGTTGTCAACGGAAAGTGGTGTAGTTACTGGTTTAATGGAACAAATATCAAGAATAGTTTCAAGATTAACTGATAAACGTCAATCACTTTTAAGTGCAAATGCAACTGACAGTTTTGTAGATTATCAGACCCGTATGGTACAAACCGCTAAAGAAATTGCACGCGTAGCTAATGAAATGAATGCTAAAGCACCCTATAATCCTCAACAGTTGCCACAATTAGCTGTAGATATGACACAACACTACACTCGCATAACCGAAGATTCAGTGGGAGCTGCAATGACCACGACTTCCCCAGACGTAGGAATGCGCATTCGACAATGTGTTATTGATTTAGGAAGATCTGTTATGAATATAATTCAATCAACAGCTGGTGTTCGACCTGATGATGCAACCAGTCAAGCTGATGTGGCTAGAAACGCAAGAGATGTATCAGAAAAAGTTGCACAAGTTCTTGTTGCATTACAAGCTGGCTCAAAAGGAACCCAAGCTTGCATAAATGCAGCGAATACTGTAGCGGGAATAATTGGAGATTTAGACACTACAATCATGTTTGCTTCAGCTGGTACTTTACATTCAGATGATAAAGGAACTTTTGCTGATCATAGGGAAAATATATTAAAAACAGCAAAAGCTTTAGTTGAAGATACAAAAGTTTTAGTGGCTGGCGCAGCAGGCACACAAGACCAATTGGCCAGTGCTGCACAAAATGCTGTTACTACAATATGTAAATTGAATTTATAATAGTTTTTTGTTTTATTCGATTTATAATAATTTTTTTTCCGCATAGTACAACTTTCGGATGCTGTAAAACGTGGAGCTTGTAGTTTGGGCTCTGAACAACCTGATTCACAAGTAATGGTTATTAATGCTGTTAAAGATGTTGCATCTGCATTAAGGGAATTGATTCATGCAACTAAAACTGCTTCTGGTAAACCTATAAATGATCCAGCTATGCAAGATCTAAAAGAAAGTGCTAGGGTATGTTTGCGTATTCTGCATAAAGTGTTTTTATATATTGATATAATTATATTTTGTATATTAATATAAAATATATTTTTATTTTTACATTAAATATTATAAGTAAATGTTCATTATCCACTATCCTATCAAATATCATCTCTTCATTAATATATATATTTCCATTAATAATTATTTTTAAACTTAAATAATATTAATTTTGAGTATTATTTTCTTTTAAACTGACATTAATTATTTTCAACCCTAAACTTATACAATGTGTAATAGAAATATTAGCTAAAAAATTCTTAAATGAAAAGCATTATGTTTCATGCTCAAAACTGGAGATTATCAAAATGTGAAATGTTATTTATTTAAAAATAATAAACAAATTCAAAGTGGTGAAACATTTATTAATTTCACATAAAAATTGAGCCATGCAAAGGAATCACTGTTTTAATTAAGCAATTTTTAAATTTTTATTTTTTGTTCTTACTTCATTTTTTTATGAAAATTAGTTCAGTTAAAATTTTTTATATAAGATAACAAATTTAAATTGAACGATTTATACAAACATTCATTTTAAATTTGTTAATATAAATACATAATAATTTTGTGTTTAATCTAATAAATTATTTGAATTTTAGCATTGTGCAATTAATGACTCCTTAATCTATTAATAATCCCTTTTGCATTTAAAAAATATATTTTTGTTCCAATAATTTTTTTTAAATCCAACTAGTTCTATTCTTAACATTAAGATATTAATCTTAATATTAAACGAGATATTAATCTAAAACAATCAGTCTATTATCATATACAGCATACATGACATCTATGCAGTAACACTCAAAATTACGATAATCAAATAGATATTACCCTGATAGTTTTACTTAAAATAGTAAATTAATTTTTATTTTATATTTTAGATTTATAATTTAAGTTCATAAAAAACTATAGAAAATGAATCATGAAACAAAATTGCTTTATGAATTCATAATGCACCATATTTTGTATAAAATAACTAACACAAAACAATAAATTTATAAATAATGTTAATAACACAATAGCTACAGTAGTTAATCATTTAATAATACAATAATCAATTTGTAAAATATATTTAATTGCACAAATTACTAAATCACTTACGATAAAATTATTTTCTCGATAATTAAATAAAATATGTTAACAATACGGCATTAAAGTAAATAGGGTTTAAAAAAGTGCCTTACTTAAACATTATGTCAAAGCTAAGTATATTCAAAAACTCTCCCACTTAATCATATTGATGGTCAATGTTTACAATATAATCACAACTTATTGTCATTTGTAAACAATATTAGGCTTATTAATTCATGTTTTTATTAAGAAATAATTCATGTTGTTATTGAGAATTATTTATTAAGAATTATAGATCTAAGTGTTTTATGTATTAAAATGTTTTAGCGCAAAGTTTATATTTCACATCTTTTAAATAATCAATTATTTAGCGATTATAAAATTGCCGTCACTAAAATTATTATTCATAATTTGAAAAAAGATAATTAATTTAAATTAAATTTTTTTTTATGTTTCCTGAAATCACAAAATTATTATTTAATTTAAAATTAGATTTCTTAATCCAATCTCTGTAAATTTTGTAAGTGTTTATGTTTCGTTGTTTTTTTTTATTATTTCCTAATTATTAATTATTAAATATTTATTGATTTTTTTTTTAAAAAAACATACAAAAATGGACAGTAATGTTAAACTGTGTAATTGGTTCTTACTTGAAACCGGTTCTTGATAAATATAATAAGCATGATATGTAATATAATAACCTTATTTTGTGAAGTGTATACAGAGAAAAATAAATTAATTTTTTAATGCACTTTAATATTTTCATCAACTTTTAACGCAAGTAACAAAATTTATAATTTATTTTAAATTTTTTTAATTAAACTTTCCCTAATAAAAACCACCAGTCTATTTTAATTTATATTAATTTTTTAATAATAAATTTTATTAAATAATAAAATTCAAGAATAATAATAGAAAAAAATAGACAATTTTCTTAAAAAATAACTATGTCAATTTTTCTCTTTTTTTTTTTTTTTCTTGGACAGATACTTAACGATTTATGTTCTTCAGAACTTGGCATTAAAAAATAATACATGCTTCATTTCATAGCATATTTAATAACTATCATACACACACATATAATTTTTATATATTTATCATTAATATAATAATTTTTAAAATTTATGATTGAATATTCATGCAAAAAAAAAAAATTAATTTAAGTTACATAATCAAAATCATATTTTCATATTAACAACATTAAAATCATAAGTGAGAATTATTAAGAATAAAATTACTTTGAAATCATAAATTAATTTTAAGTTATTGTTTGTTGTAAGGAAGAATAGTAGATCAAATAATTTTTAAACAACGAAACAATAAACATTTCGCATTAGTTTTCTTTTCAACTAAATAATGTTTATTTATTTAATTATTACGAATATTTTTGGATTATTTTGCATTATTTTAAATGTGTTATTCAAATTAAAATTTTAATTATTGCTTAAACCAGAAATGCATTATCAAGTACAATTTGTATATTTATATAATATAAGAAAAAGAGTTTTGCACATGAATTGTAAAATAACCAAAATTCCATTTCTTTTTAATTATTTATCTCTTGAAAATCGTTTGTTCCCAGTGTTAGTTTAATTTAAGGGCACGAAATTTTTTACTCATAAGTATTCAATGCTAATATTGTTAAAAAGGAAATTTCTTAGCACAAAAACCAGTTTGCTTTTATTTTTAAAATTTAAATTTATAATATCTCCTATCGCATAGTTTCAATTTAAGTAGAATTTTTCCTTGTACCATATTAAAAATATTTATTGACCGCTTATTAAAACTTAAAATCAACTTTTTTTTTCTATATACTTTTCAACATTCTTAATACTTATTTTATTTTTTAATTTTGTTAAAATATATTAAAATAAACATAATTTATTTCGTAAATTGAATTTTCCAAAAAGGTTCTGATAAATTTGATCTACTCTTTTTCCAATAATTGCATATTTGAATTTAAAATGATAGAATGTTTATTATAATAAAAAATGGTTTAACAAATCGAATTGAATCCAATTTACTAATCTAATTTTAGAACATAATGCTTAAATTCTCAAATTTTTAGCTAAGAATATTATTTTAATTTGATCATATAAAACTACACCTAATTTAATATATTAAAATCAAAATCATCATATTCATTTTATATAATGTATTTTTGAATCAGAAAAAAAAATTATTATTGAGAACATTAAAATTTGAAAAAAAATTATGTCAAAATATACATAATATAAATTTATAAACATATACATTTATAAGTACGTTTAAAATTACTATTTACCATCTCATGTTCACAAAACTAATATTTTGCAATGCTATGCTACAGCAAAATGAATTGAAAAATTTCCATTTACTCGAAATATTCATTGTTAAGTAAAATAAATACCTTAATGTTGTAAATATTTTACTAAATTTTAAATATTTAATTTAAATTAGGTTATGGTCCTAAATGTTTCATCATTATTAAAAACTGTTAAAGCGGTTGAAGATGAACATACAAGAGGAACACGAGCTATGGAAGCAACCGTTGAAGCAATTTCACAAGAAATAAGAGTAATAAAAAAATATAAACTCAATAACTTTTTTTTTTGAGAAATTGTATATTTAATTCTTTGTTATTTATTTTAGACAATGAATTCACCACCGCCATCAAACTTAACACCAGCCACACCAGAAGATTTGATTCGCGTTTCAAAAAATGTTACAACAGCCACAGCCAAAGCAGTTGCTGCTGGTACATCAAATTTACAAGCTGATATTGTAGCAGCAGCAAATATTGGACGTCGTGCTATTTCTGAAATGCTACTTGTTTGTAGACAAGTTGCCTGGACATGTGCTGAAACAGAGGAATTAAGGCAACGTACCCTTGAAGCAGGCGCTGCAGTTGGTGAATCCTATCATTATTTATTAGTTGGAATACTGAAAAATTGTTCAGCTGATGATAGAATGCATTATTCACGTCGTGTTGCGAAATGTGTTACTGATTTATGTGCAATGGCTAAATTATTAAAAGGTTCCGATTGGATTGATCCGGAAGATCCAACAGTAATTGCTGAAAATGAGTTATTGGGTGCTGCAGCATCAATAGATGCAGCTGCTAAGAAGTTAGCTAGTTTAAGGCCAAGAAGACAACCTGATGTTAAGGTAGGGAGAATTGTTATTTTTATTATTTTTAATGTGTTTTAAATTATATCATAGATATAAAAATTTCTTTGTTATTTTTTTTTTTAACATAAAATAATATCTAAAATAAAACTTATATTATATAGGTGCATTTATATAAAATATGCGCGTATAATAATTATTTGTATTAATAACATTTATCTCTAATGATTACAAATTATAATTACTTATTTAAGCATTCAAAACTAACATTTTATTAAATTAATAATCTCTCATAATTGCATCCCAAAATAACAATTTTTATATTATACAATTAATCTGAACGTCTTGTTTTTTTTTGTATCGCATTCACAACATTTTTATGTTTTTCGAGTTGAAAAACCTCGATTTTAAATTTTTAAAAGTTTTTAATTGCAGTTCTTTTGTTGTAATTTTAGAAATTTTGTGAAATTATTTTTATTTAAGTAAATTTATGGCAATTTTAATTATATCGTCGAAAAAATTGTAACAGTCACGACACTAACAAATTCTTAAACACTATGCATTCCGCTAAATATAAATTAAAATACATACATTTTAAAATTCGCTTCATACTAAAATTTTAATAAATTAATATATTTAAATTGTCTCTTGTGCCACCTCATATACCTCACATTACAAGAAAACATGCATTTTTTTTTTTTCATGAAAGATTGCATCAAAAAAAAAAATTTGGATGTTCCTTGTACGTGCTTGCATGTTTAAATTTCAATCCTAGCATTATTTCAGCTGCAACTTAGTTCGGTAATGGAAACTTCAAAAACTTTTAAATATTATTTATTATCAAATTTGGCATTCTATTAAAAAATATGTCATTACTGATAGTTAAAATTTTACACCCCCTTTTTACAACAAGTAAAACACATACAAAAGTCGAAAGACAATTTTAAATAGAGTAGAATTATATCTATGAATGCTTATTAATTTAATACACGTATATATAAATACATGTACATATTATGTATGTGTATATATAAATATATTTTTTATAAATTATTAAAATATTTTGCAATTACTCGCATTAACAGTAAAATTCTTTATTTAATTAAAAAAAACATATACAAAAATTTTTCATATTTTTCTTTATGGTGATGGTATGTACTTTTCTTGCTTTCTATGGGAATTACGGTAAGATATGTTTGATATTCTTGGTTGTAATTTAAATTTCTATTCGACCAGGAATCAAACATATTATTATTGTGATTTAGCCATTTTTCTTCTAACACATTAACTTTATTTATTAAGTAAGGTATTAAAAAATTCATAAAATTAATTAAAAATTAACACAAATCTTTTCCTATAAGATTTTTTTTATAGAAAAAAATATAGTGTTAAGCGATTATTTCACTTAATTTTATATTTAATATTTTAGATGCCTGATGAAAATATGAATTTTGATGAAATGATTCTTGAAGCTGCTAAAAGTATAATGGCGGCTTCTGCAGCATTAGTTAGAGCAGCAAATGCAGCACAACGTGAATTAATAGATCAAGGAAAAGTAGCTCGCCGTCCTTTACATTCTTCAGATGATGGACAATGGTCAGAAGGTTTAATATCGGCAGCAAGATTAGTTGCTGCAGCCACACATAGTCTCGTTGAAGCCGCTCAAAATTTAGTACGCGGTGTTGGAACCGAAGAAAAATTGATTTCAACAGCAAAACAAGTTGCTGCATCAACAGCACAATTATTAATTGCATGCAAAGTTAAATCAAATCCAAATTCAGAAACTGGTCGTCGTTTACAGTCAGCTGGTAATTCTGTTATTAAGGCAACGGATAATTTAGTAAATGCAGCCCAACAAGCATTAGATGCCGAAGATGAGCATGTCTTAAAAATAAATACAAGTATGGTTGATCGTATGCGACAAGAAATTGATGCACGCTCTGAAGTCTACAAAATGGAGAAAAAATTAGCAGAAGCTAGAGATAAATTAGTTCAAATACGTCATGCTACTGCAAGACAAAATAATCCTAGCGGTTTTGGCACTTTCAATGAGTCAACTGATAGTACCGATGAATATCATCAATATCATGGTAGCGGAGGTTACTCTTCACCAACCCATTATCAAACCAATGTATGTAAATGAACAAAAAAAAACAAAAATTATTTGTTTTTATATCTGATTATATATTTTTTTATTAATTATTTAGATTTTTAATAATCTTAATATTAAAGTAATGATATTTTTATTAATGTTAGTAATATTGTTAGAAATTTATGTACTCCAATAAGTGTATAAAATTTAAAAATTAAAATTTAGTGTGTGTATATTAAAAAACAAAACAAAAAAAAACTTTGAGTAAAAAATTAAAATCGTTCAACAAAACGAAAACAATAAATACAGGTAGAACATAAATTTTGTACATTACTTCGCAACTAATTCATTATAATTAAATACTGATTAAAATTAAGTTCTAATTTTACTAGAAAGGCGGAAAAAACTAATTTTATAAATTGAAAATTATTAATATTGATTGGAAAAGTTTTCATTATTTTTAAAAACGCTAAACTAATATGAATATTTTTAGGACTAAAATTTCAAAACATACATACCATATATTTAATAACTAAAAACCAAATGATTTAAAATGATAGAAAGAACATTTATTGCTTCTGAATCTTTGAAATAATTTGTTTAAATTGCTTTTATACTGATTTTCCTATATCTTATAGAGTTACAAATAAAAGGAAAATTTTTCAAAAATTAAATATGTTAAAGCTGATTCAGTTGTAAATTTTTAGATAAAGATGAAATGTTGTAGAGATAGGCAATAAACATAATTTTGGATAATTTTATCGAACAATACTATTAATCGAACGATTAAGTGGGGTAGCGTAACTTTACAAATTATAACGATTATATCAAATACTTAAATTATCATTCATTCTTAGCTAGATTTTGTATTTAACATGGAAAAATAAAAAAAAACTAGGGAAGCAATATTTCGCGAAATTTAGGAATTTTTTTTTTTAATACATTATTAATACATTATTAATTGTTATTTGATTTTTTGAGCTTCCACCTAAATAAATTTAAAATATTTGCGAATTAACATTGATAAAAAAACAATGAACAAATTACAGGTAAAACATGCTATTGAAAAGAAAACACCCGCTGGAAAAACACAAACGGAAGTTGTGTACAAATCCTTAAGATTTTCTAGATATACAAGATATCGAAAATGAAAAAAAGTTGTTTCAGACTTTTATATTAAAAATTTGATAAGCAAAAGAATAAACAATGAAAATGAAGATTTTTCATGAATTTTTATATTGCACTAAGATATTTTTAATGTTTCTTTTCACTTACATTTATGAAAACGATAACATTAATAATTTCCTTTAAAAAGTACAAATGTAATAATGCAATTTTTATTATTTTTTTTAATTATATTCACCACCTTCAAATATCTTCAATTATTTCGTTTTTATACACCTTATAATTTTTTAAAAATTTTAAAATAACAAAAAGTTTTAAGGTGTGGTTTTCTCAAAACAAAAAAAAAGTCACTTTAATTTCACAAAATAAAGCCACTCTCAAGTTATGAATAATCAAAAAAAAAATATTATTATAAAAAGCTTAATAAATAAGCTAATAGTAAGTTATTTTTTTTTTTAATTAATTATAAATTAATAGTCAATTTAAAAATAATTAAAGCACTTAGAAATACTTACAAATTAACTTAGGTACAAATAGGAAACAACTGAATTTAATTTTCAATCAATTGTTTTAGGTTTAATTGTTAGAAAGCATAGCAATTTAAAGATAAAATTGTAATTTTATTAACAATTATGAACCATAAAGTAATTTTTTTTCTAACCAAAATACTAATCAAATATTAATCCAAATTTAACAGTCATTAAATCGATCTGGTTTTAATGTTTCACCGTCACTGGGCTATCAACAACAACAACAACAACAACAACAACAACATCAGTACTACCAAACATTACCTACTAACTATCAGCAACAACAGCATAACTATCCTTACCATCACGAAACATCCTCTAACCAAATATATCAATCCTCATTTCAAAAAACTTCAACACCCCCTCCCCCAATTCCTCCACCACCACAACATTTCCATCATCCAGATTTAATAAATGATAATTTACCTCCTCCACCACCTCCACCGCCTTTATCTACAGCATATAACCAAAGAGAGCAAATATCTTCATTAAATACAACAACATTTAGACCAAATCCCACATTAACTGCAAACGCTATACCACGACCATATCCTGGTAGTCCAAATGTTGTTCTAACCCCAACAAGTCCTTTTGGTGTAGGAATAAATAACCAAACGTTATTAACGACAACAACAACTAATTATGGAAATATCACACCAACTGGTAATAATACTACTGTTAATACAACTGTAACTACTACTAGTGCTAATGGTGGTGTGTCACCATTAAGTCCATTATCAAAAATAACTAATCAAAATAATTTTGAAACTTCACATACATCGTCTTCGACAATCAATAAAATTCAAAAATCATCAACTGATGAACAACAATCAAAATTAAACGATCAACAAAAACATCAACAATATGAAACATTTGAACAAAAAATGTTAAAACAACAACAACAACAACAACAAAAATCTGATTCTTCAACATCAACAAAAACAACAAAGATATCAAAAAATATTGAAGCAACAGTGAAAGATTTACATGATAAAACATTCGGACAAGGTGGTGTTATACAAATAACTGGTGGATTCAAACCTTCAGGCACAGGACCACAAAATTATGAGGGCTACACATCTAGGTGAGTTCTTATAAATTTTTGCTAGAATTATTTTGTATTTAGTTCGTTTGCAGTTTAAGATGATTTTCATATTTAATATTTTATTCATAATTATTTATATTAGAAATATATAAATTATTTTCGAAAAACATAATAATTATGAATTTACATTTGTTTTGTCTTACTTAAAAATTCTTTATCTTTAGCTAACATTGTTTTGTACTAAATTATACACAAAATTTTATTCATTGACTGTAACATATTTTTTCAATTACCTTATCTGTGTGTGGGTGAATTTTTTACTATTTTAATAAATATTTCCGTAAAATAAGTGCTATATAAATACATACAGCATGTCTTCCAAAAATTATTTCGATTCTTAAAATAAATTTTTTTTTAAAGAAGTTTCTTAACTCCCGTTCTCAAAATATTGTGTGGTTTTTTTCAATTAAATTGGAAAACATCTTAAGCACTTGCATTGAAAATAATATCGCAGAAAAAATAATATTGCTTAAAGATTTCAAAATAATTTGTTTAAACTTGGATTACTTTAGTTAAGATTTAATATTTCTGTAATTGTTAATCGTAATCCTTGGAGTAAATATAAATGTAAATATAGAATAAAAGTAGTTATGAATTAAAAAAGTTTTTGAACATTTCGATTTCAATTATTTTAAATTTAGCTTGTTTTCAAGTGTGATTACCTAAAATTTTCAAAAATATAATACTTTAAATTCTTTAAAAGTAGTTTTATACAAGAAAAAAAGATTGTGCCTTAAATTGACATAATAACACGCTTACATTTAACAACATTACATAATTCAATTCCAAGTATATAAAAATATTTCTACTATATTTTATTCTATTAAAATTTTTTTCTCATTCATTATTACTCTTTTTTCATCATCTAAATTATTCGTACTTCTAAATTGTCCGATTTGATCACTGCAGCTATAAAAACTATTTTTAATCATATAAAAAGCTTGATGTTGAATTGTGAAATTTGTTATAAAATTAAACGTTTGTGCGTTTTCTATTTTGATTAAACATCGATAAAAATTTTGATTAAAAACAAAAACAAATTATTTTCAAATAAATTGCAGTCAAGATGCCCCAGAAGTCACTAATGAAGTGTAAGTTCAATCACAATTCATAAAAAGAGCACAACAATATATTAATAACAACATTCCAGTGAATATTTAGATACAAACTGTAGTTTACCAAATATCAATATTCTTGATCATAAATTAGCAATACTTTTATGTTGAATACTTATTGGACAGACAAGTTTCTGTAAAATTTATCGAAATCGCTTAAAATTTTTAGTGATAAAATATTGAAAAACATAGTGTACTTAATGTAAAATTGTATTTAATTTAAATGTTAAATTGTAATAACTGATTCCAGTAAAAATTTGGTATTAAAATAAATGTTAATATATGATCAAGAAATAATAATTATACATTTGTGGTTTAGAAGAATATTATTTAAATGTTAATGTTGAAAACATTTTAAATTTAATACACAATTTTTTTAGGTAAATTATTTATTTAGTTTATATTTTATTTTGTAAGAGCGTAGTTCATTTGATTAATTCAAAAAATTTAAAATCTTAAATAAAATAAGATCTTTATAAAAAAAAATACGATAAAAACCTTATTTTTAAATAAAAATTTGATTAATTTTTTTTTATCTACAACCTTCTATGAATATAATTCTAATTAATTTTCTTAATTTTTCATTTATATTTTCCGTTTTATTAAAAATAAATAGATATGAAACCCGGTCTTATGAATCATCTAGTGAAATAAAACCATTAGAATCGAATTTTTCACAATTAACAATACGCACAGATAACAATGGCCGTTTAAATTTAGAAGAAGAAGGTTCACAACGTCTTTCATCGATGACACAACGAGTATTAGAACGAAAAATTTTAACAACAACTACAGAATCCCGAACGGAAACAAAAAGTCAAAAACATAGTTTCCGTTTAGAAAAGCCAACATAATAAATTTTAATATTAATAAAAATAAACATATATAATATTTTAATTAAAATAATTAACATTTAACAAGGAGAAAAAATTAAATACTTTTTTTTTATGTACATATACTGATATTTTTATTAAAAAATTAATTAATGATAATAAAAAAAAAATTAAAAATTAATAAAATTGTAATTGTATTTTGACATATTTTTCTTTCAGATTGATTATTTTCATGTGTAAAATATTTGCATTGTATTTAAAAAAAAATATATATATATAACAAAATTATTAATAAAATGTGTATATTGTATTAGAAAAATATGGCAAAATTAAAAAAAAAAATTAACTAAAAATAAAAAAAAATAGATAATTAATCAGATCTATGTTGCAGTTACTAAATAATATTAAATTTTTCCTGAACAAATTTAGCATTTAAAAGTTGATTTTACACAACTTATACTTAGAAAATAGAACAAGTTTTATAACATTCTGTTACAAGTTATACCTAAAAATAATATTTGACAATTTTAGTATCGAATATTAGAGTCCAATTAAGCATTTGAAATTGTACATAAGTCATTTGAACTCTAAAATCTATATACCTTTTAAAATTAAACAAGGACTTACTACAGTACAATATCAAATATAAACATTTATATTTTAAATATTTTTTTGTATAATTATGCAATTTAGTTTTATATCTTGTAACAAAACTGCGGTAATATTTATCTTTTTATGACTTAAAAAAACTATTGACTATATTTAAATTCAAAAATATAAGATCTAATTAATACACTGATTAAACATAGAGCTGAATAATATCTTTCGAAATTGCTGCCAATATTTAAGAAACAAATAAATAAAAGCCTTAAAAATAAAAATAAAAAATACATTCTAGTTAAGTACATTGTAGAATTTAATATAGATGTTTTAAAATAATATGCTTATAAAAAAATACATAGATAAATATGTATAATTTATGTATATATATATACATAATAAAATTATTTTCCGAACTAAAATAAACACATTTTATGACGCACAGAGAATGTAATAAAATTTTAAGAGAAACTAATATTATAAATTATAATTTTAATAAAAAATCATTTTGCCATAAACCAATAAAAGGGTTTTTTTTATTCGTAAATATTAAAAATATATGTAATATATAAATATATTTAAATATGTATTATATATCATATATAATTAATTATAATATGTAAAGTATGCATAAAAATAATATTATACTTGTGCCAGAATATTAATTTTTATTTTAAAAATGTGTGAACTAAATATTACTATTATTAAATTTAGAATATGAAAAAAACAAATTAAGTAAATTTTAATAAGTTGTTAACGTTTGACTTTTTTCCCATTTACAAATAAATAATAATTAAAAAGGATTCAATGATTCTATTAGAAATTTAACAGTCTAAGGTGAATTATTAATTAAATTTTCAAATTAAAAGATATATATATATATATATATATATATATATATATATATTTAAAATGAATTGGATTGAGTATAGCAATTATTTTTATTTATATTTGGGAGAACCTCAAAAAGTCATACAGACTTTACAAATAAAATTTACTTCAAAATATTTTTCTTCATTGCTATATTTATATTAAGAATATATAATTACTAATATTATATAAGAAAGCTAAGCAAATCATACAATAAGTGCACTTTTGAGAATTAAAATTTATTATTACATATTTCATTATACATTAACATTTACTTACATATATACATCCAAAATGAAATTTTAATTATGATATTTATTCCTACAGTTTAAATTAATTATCATTGGTCTTGCGCTTCTTTTGTTAAAACTATTATTAAACTAAACATTAATTTTGTTTTTTGAAAAAATAACTTATAATTCAATGCTTATTAAGTAATTGTCCAATAACTTTCAATATTTCAATTAAATCAATAATAAACAAAAGAATAATGTGCAGTAAAATTCAATATCGTCTTATAGTCCAGTAAAATGCAATTTAATTTCCAGTATAATTTAATTTAATTTCTATAGAACAATAATTCATATGTAAGTAAACCATAATAATATTCATTCAATCGAGTTCATTACCATTTAAATTAAAGTAAAATCTTTAGAGTCGTCCAGTACCTTTAAAATTTTAGGAAATTTCATAAAATACAAAACGTGAACCTGTGAAAAAATTTTTAAAATGAAAATATAGCAAATTTTAATAATACTAATAATAATAATAAAAAAAAAAATTAAATATAGTTTCAAAATTTCTGCTTTTAAATGAAATCCTTATAAATTTATACGCAAAAGTGCTTTTATATTGTAAATGATGTGTCAAAAAACAAAAAAATTATATAAAAATAATTAATTAACACTAACAAAACAAAAAGTTAAATAAATCTGTATACTTAATAATTTTATGAAATTTGACAAAAAAGTAGGAAAAAGTAGAAAATTTATAAAATTTCTTTTCTGGATTTTATAAAACACCTGAACTTTTATAAATTCAATTAAGTATTGCAGCCATTAATTAACTTTTCTTGTTTTAATAATAATTATTGCGTTTTATAAAATAATATTAGTAGTTAAAAGTAAATTTACATTTATAATGAAAAATGTGCCTAAATGTTTGTGTAATATTGAAAATATACCAAAAAAAAAAATTTAATTTCATCTATATAATATATATACATATATTTTAAATTTCTTCTACAAAATTTTAAATAAAAATTGAAAACGTGAAACTTTCCAAATCAAATATCTTTTAAAATAAAATAATGGTTACACTTTTTTTTAAATTGAAGCATGTATATACATAAATATAATTTTCAAATAATTTGTTTTATTAAAGTCTCTTATAATACAAGTATAATTTTCTTTTTTTTTTCTTTTTCAAATATACAACAAAATTTATGTAAATTTAAATATAAATAATAAATAAATATTAATTTTAAATTGTATAAAAATTTATTGAATTTTTTTTCAACGCGAAATATTTTATTTCAAAGTAAGTAAATTATTTATAAAATAATTATTAATATTTTTGTTTTTATTTAGATGTTATACCAAGCTATGCATTATACTTACGTATATTTTTTTTGGTGTTGAAAAATAAAAAATATTCCAATTGAAATTTTTATTTTTTTCTCAATAACTCAAATAAAATTAACTACTTACTTATGTATGTATTAAAATTCAAACTAATTTATCAATTTTTGATTTAAATTCAATTTATTCGTATTAATTAGAACATTCTTTATATTTATTTTACGATCATTTTAAGCAAGTTTAATTTCAAGAATTAAATTTTATTGGTAATCAAATGAGAGGCTACGAAATTTTTTTTAAATGATGCTTTGTAGATTAATACTTGTATTAAAATATAAGAATGCTTACTAAAAATTTTAAAACTTTCGATCACATAAAAGCAAATGCATTTAAGATCTATAAAAAAAAAAAAATAATTTGGTTTATACAGATTCATAAGATTATGACTATTAATTGCTAAAACACCGGTTGTAAAAAGTGTAAGCCACTAAAAGGGTACTTGCTTCGTTCTCCTCATTTTACTATATATTTTAAATTGCTTTTTGTTATTTTAATTTATCATAATTCTCAATAATTGATGAATATAAAACAAGAAAGGACAAGAAATAATTATTATTCTGCACTTGGTACAAATCTTCAATTAAATTTATCTTTCTTTTCTAGTAAATATTATAAGATACAATAAGATTAATGATTCCAGATCAATATACTATTTAAAATATATCTTCATTTAACCAAAAAATGAATAGATTTATATTTAAATTACTGATTTTATTTTTAATTTTTTGAAAATCGACGTTAACCTTTAGATTTGCACTGACAACAAACTTTTCATTAATATTGCTGATACAAACAGATTAATTTGAGTTATTTTGAATTGCTATTACTCAACTTTGTCAACACAATCTTAAAATTTATGTGGAAATCTTTAATCTCATACGTAGTAGCAATTATTATTTAAACTTATATTTATTTTTCTTGTTCATTATTTATGTATAATCGTTTATATTTTTAGCTTATTGTTCTGAACCGTCTAACAAATTGCGTATGTAACCTAAAATACCAAAATTCATTTAATACTTATGTTCTTATTTATCAGTTCAATACATAAAATTAACATCAGTTTTCAAAGAATTGAAAAGTAATTAAAGAGTTTAAATATAATCTACTTATTTTTGTATTTACTTTTACTTAGTATGTAAGATGTAAACATATTACTCACGAAAATTTTTTTTAAAGTTAATCTTAAAAAGTTAAAGGTAAACAAACCAGTTTCACTTCGTATTTTTTGTTTTTTTTTTAAAAAGATGAGTAAATAAATTAATTACATAAGAATCGATGTATGCACAGGAATGTCTCGTATAAAACAAAAAATTTAAATGATTGACATAATAAAGTAAGAATCAATCATCTTAAAGTGAAGAATATTGTTAATCCGTACCAAAACAATGTTCCAAATACTCAATCAGCCTTTCTCACTCCATATATTTTTCTCTTTAAGAGATAAGTAATAAAAGAAGTAAAAAAATGAATTGTGACGAGTATAAATGTATGTTGTACTTCTTTATAATTCTTAAATACGAAAACCAGAATTTTAATGGCACGTACAAAAAAAATGAGCTGATAGACAAATTAAAGAGAAGAATTTATTATAAATACTATAATAAACGTGAACTTTAAGTCAGTCTTGAGCTTCAGCTCATAGGAATTGTTAAATATTATTGAAGATCATAGAAAAAAAATTGAAATTCTCAAAAATGTTAATTTTATTAAAAAATCTTTTAAAAGTTTTTTTATTTGGTTTATTGTGTCAAATTATATCAGCGGATATCAATAAAGAAAATCAATTTTTACAATTTACAAAATCTATTAATGAAAAGATCAAAAATGAAATTAATCCATGTGATAATTTTATTCAATATGCATGTGGAAATTTAAATACGAATACGATTAATACGTTTACTAAAAGTAAATATTCCATGGAAGAATGGTTATCAACATATTTAAAAGGTCAAGAACATAAACCAAGTGAAGGTGAAACAAAAGCGATATCCTATTTTAAATCATGTAAAGATGAAAAAAATTATAAAAAAGCTTTTCATGAAATTGAAAGTTTAAAATCTGTGGAAAAGTGGCCAATACAAAAAGATATTACTGAAGATGATTTACTTAAAATTATGGTTGACGTAATGATTTTTAATGCAAATAGTTTAATTGATATTCGATATTTAGGGGATGTTGATAAACTTGAATCACATCAAAAAAAATATAATGCTACTATAATTTTTAGTACTGGACCATTTCAACCTATTAAAGATGTAATTAATGAATTTAAAACAAATATGTTGGAAATGGGTTTTGCAGATGAAATTACAATTGAAAAATCTTTAAAAGATATTGAAGCATTCTTAAATGAAATAAAATCAATTAATGATGCAAATAGAAATAATGAAAAAACAAAACTTACCTTGGAAGAATTCAAAACAAAAATTCCCAATTTTGACTCGGAAAAATTTTTAAATACTTATTGTGATATTGTAAAACTTGATTGTGAAAAAGTTAAAAAAGCTTTTGTAATATATCAAATCGAAAACTTTAATCAAACAATTAATTTAATGAAAAGAACTGATCTAAAAACATTAGCAAATTATTTTGTAGGACAATATGTTGATGTACAGAAAAGTTATTTTTCATGTGATCTGGTATTACGTTATTTCAAGCCAATTATAATTGGAAATATTTTAGAAAATTATTTGAATGATGATGACAAAAATAATTTTTTGTTAATTTTGAATAGATTTAATAATTCATTTGGAAATATTAAAAGAAATTGGCCAGTTGGAATTGGTGGTCAAATGAATGAAGAAGTTACGAGACAAACAGTAGAACCTATTAAATATTATTTAACAAATTATAAAGCAGCTATAAATAATAAAATTTTAAACGAAATATATAGTAAAATTGATATAAGTGAAGATAATTATTTTTTAAATCAATACAATACTTATATTGTTATGCAGCATTACGGTTTAAATGATCCCGATAAGATAAGAGAAGCTCTTGAATTTATAGGAAAATCATATCAATTGATTTTTAATATTGAAACTCATAATAAACCTTTAGATTATTATTTTACAACCGAATTATTTGAAATATGGATGGCATTTGTTGGTAATAATAAATATGCTTTCGAAAGAGAAATCAAAGAAAGTAAATGTCATGATTTAACTTCTGCAGATATTTCATATTTGTATGCTGTGAAATTATCATTAAATGATTATATGAAATATATTAAAGATTTTCAAGAAAATCATGAAAAATTATATGAAGAAAATAAAAATATTTTAAACAGCTTTGATTTAAATCATAACAAATTATTCTTTTTAAGTTTAATGCAATATCATTGTTCAATGACAAATGAAAGTGTTGAAAATAATTTTGTAAATAGTTTTAAATATGATAAAGCATTTATTGAAACATTTAATTGTTCAAATGAAATGTACAAAAAAGATTGTGATGTAACAAGTAAAACATCTTTAATAAAATTCTAAAAAATATTGGTTTTCTATTTACTTATATTTTAAATTTTTTATTGACAACTTCTTTAGAATTTACTATACTGGTATGAGTTAGAATTTTGGAATTTTAAAGGTAATTCTTTTCTCTTATAACTTCCACTGTGCCATTTTAAATGTTTTTTGCTAAATTTGTCTTAAAATAATAATACCAAATTGTAGGTATAAATATGTAGGTATTCATTTTGATTAAATTAACTTGAAAATCGTATTCAACTGAAAAAATTTAAAATGAAAATTTTGTATATGCAGATAGCAAGTTTATTAGTTTACAATTAAAATTTTCGCTATTTAAAATTCGACATTTTTCTAATATTTTATATATACACTTACCATGTTCTTGGTATTCTAAATATTACTTAGTAATTAATGAAAAAATGAATGAAGCTGAAATGTAAAATATAGGCCAAACCTGTCTGAGTATCACTTGCGTACAAAGTTTATATTAAAATTATAAAACACAATTACATAATTTCGTTCATTTGTTATTTTACCAATTTTTCTATTATCTAAATTCAAAAAATAAAATAAAAAAATTTTACACAACGCTCATTTTTATAATTAATCGACATTCGACAAGTGACAACCATCTATTTGAAAAAGTACCGTTAATTAAAGAACAGTATTGCCATTGTAAATTTTTTTTCGAAATTGTACAATTATTGCTTTTCAAATATTATGACGTTTACCAGAATGTCATGTCAAAATCAACATGATTATGACAATTCGAATTCGAAATAAAATTTTACGAACAACAAAAATTCCTGTGTGTAGTAATTTACATATTTATATACATACATAATTCATATACCATTTCTACAGGGCACTATTAGTGCGAAGTTCAATTGGCAAATTTTTTTTATTTTTTTAATTTAAAAATCTATTATTTTTTTTTTATTTTCTTTAATTTTTGTTCTTTGATTATACAATAATTAAAATGTCTGTTTTGCGTTTAATTGGGAACTCCTTTTTTAAAAATCTAAATTTGCAAATAAATGTTCCAAGGACACTTCCTTCCATATCAGCATCTTCAAATCGTTTGATGTCATACTATCCTATTAATGACGATTTTTTTGGCTTAAATGATGATAAAAAGCAAGTAAGTACCAATTAAATTTCTAATTTTGGATTTAAAAATTTTGAGTTAATTTAAAAAAATCTGAAATATATTTTAGCTCCGCGAAACAGCATTTAATTTCTTTCAAAAAGAATTGGCACCATATGCAAACGAAATTGATAAAAATGATGATTTTAAGTAAGAAAATATATACGTAATTATTAAAGTAATGTTTAATTAGAATATTTTTAGAGATTTTCGAGGATTCTGGAAAAAAATGGGTGATCAAGGTTTTCTGGGTATTACTGTACAACCTGAATTTGGTGGGACAGGTGGAGATTACTTAGATCATTGCATTATTATGGAAGAATGTTCCAGGTAATTTCACTCAAAAGTTTTCATATCAAAATTTAATGCTAAATAGGTAAATGGATATTTAATTTCGTATTTAAGAGCTGCTGGCGGTATTGCATTGTCATATGGAGCACATTCAAATTTGTGTGTAAATCAAATAAAAAAAAATGGAACAAAGGAGCAAAAAGAAAAATATTTACCAAAATTGATTTCGGGTGAGCATATTGGCGCTTTGGCAATGTCAGAGCCCGGATCAGGAAGTGATGTTGTTTCAATGAAACTACGTGCTGAAAAAAATGGGGATCATTATGTTCTGAACGGAACAAAATTCTGGATAACCAATGGTTCAAATGCTGATATTATAGTTGTATATGCTAAAACTGGACCAAAAGATACTGTTGGAAAACATGCGATCACTGCTTTTATTGTAGAAACAAAGTGGGACGGTTTCAGTACTGGTCAAAAACTTGATAAACTTGGAATGCGAGGTAGCCCAACCGGTGAACTTATATTTGAAAATGTAAAAGTACCTGCCGAAAATATTTTGGGTGAAATTAATAAAGGTGTATACGTTCTAATGTCAGGATTAGATTATGAACGAATGGTTTTAGCTGCCGGGCCAGTTGGTTTAATGCAAGCTGCTTGTGATATTTCATTTGATTATGCTCATCAAAGGAAACAGAAAGGTCAATTGATTGGAGAATTTCAATTGATACAAGGAAAAATGGCTGATATGTATACAACTTTAAATGCCTGTCGTTCATATTTGTATAATGTTGCTAGAGCATGTGTTAAAGGAAATGCTGTACCAAAAGATTGTGCTGGTGCTATTTTATATTGTGCAGAAAAAGCAACACAAGTCGGACTTGATGCTATACAAATATTAGGCGGTAATGGATATATTAATGATTATCCTACTGGGAGAATTATGCGTGATGCAAAATTATATGAGATTGGAGCAGGAACTTCAGAAATTCGACGTTGGTTAATTGGCAGATCATTAAATAAGGAATATAGCTTTAAATAAGAAAAAAAAAATTTTTTTCAAAAGGATTTTTTTTTTTTTGCATATTCAATTTAAAGACTCTTAAATTGCATTTATTATCGTTATTAATGTTGTAAATATATAAAAATAATTAATAGTTTAATTAATATGAAATTATTAATTTCGTTATACAATCAATAAGAAATTATTTTTCTCTGAATTATATAATTTGTCATATCAAAGAATAAAGTGCCTTATATGTATATACCATAAAACGTACTTTTTAATTTTCATTCAATATCAGAAAAATTTCAGTAAATTAATAATAATCTGTTAATTAAAAAAGAAAATTTTAAATGCGATGTCAATTCTCGATTTAATTTCTTAATTCATAATATATTAAAAAATTCTCTTTACTTTTCCTTTTCATCGTTTCATTTCGAAACTTGAAGTAGAAAAGCTTAAAACAATTTAAAAATTTCCATTTAAAGCGAGAATTGTAATACTTTAAATAACACAAATTCTTTTACAAGCTATTAAATTTCTCATAAATGTACAAAACTAAAACAGTTCTTTTTTAAATTTATAAAAATATCATAATTTTTGTAAATATTATGTATATTCAAACAAAATAGTCTTCAATTAACCTTGTCTGCAATGAAAAATGCAATTTAAATTTTTTAAGGACATTTTTGTAAAAATAAAGAATAAAAAAAACTCTTTGAAATCGCATTTAAATTTCTATGCACTGCATTAGAATGTATGTATGTAACGAATATGAAGAATACTTTATTATATTATTTAATTATTTCAAAATTTTTATTTAAGTGAATCTTATTTAAATTAAAAAATAGTATAATAGGTGCAGTAAAAAAGAAAAAAACAAGAAAAAAAACGCAAATAACAAAATTGTTTTTCAAAACAGAATTCCGGATGTTTCTTATGAATTTCCACTATTCAAAAGTATTATTATCAAGAATAAAGAGTGAAATTGAATTTTCAAAAAGGAATTTATGACGCATGCCCAAAATAAAATAACCGATTTAAAAACAAAAAAAAAATCCTTTATTAATTTTTCATTTCTATGTTACTCTCTATGTTATTTATATTATTTTCTCTCTCAAACATTGTAGCATATTTTCCTGGCTACCAATGAATCATCATTGGTTTCGATAGAGTTTTTTAAGGATATTTGAAACAGTTTTTTACTTCTAGTTCAAGGAACGAAAACATACGAAAAAAAAAAGAAAATAATTTTTATGTGCCGGTTATTACATTTTATACATATATGATTTGTAAATAATATATATATATATATATATATATATATATATATTAAAAATTGTACAATTATTTTGTGTAAATATTTATTTAAGTGTGATAAAATGAAAAATAACAAAAAAAAAAATATATGATTTTTATTGTTTTTTTTTTTTTTGTTTATATATTCATTCCAAGGATGAGCGGATGAGCTATTAATAACAAGACAAGTACAGGGAAGTATTAAATATCATAAAAACAAATCAAATATCTATCACATATATAAGCAAAATAATATGCAAAAACAAAAATGCCCTATATAAACTATTTTACTAATATTTATAACATAAAAATTGTGGAATTCGACAGTTAAGTGCAATAAAGTTTTCATTTCTCAGATTAAAAATTCTGAGGTACGATGACAATTTAAAAATATATACACACGTACATACAAAAATATAAATAACATAAATGTATTTTTAAATATAAAATTTTATAAAAAAAAATAAAAAATAAATTGTATACGTTTTATTGAGAAATTATTTTTGAAAATAAAAAAAATAAGAGAAACTTTTAAATATTTGATTAAAGTGCAATTAGTTTTAAAAAAAGAAAAACAAAAAATTTTTAGAATTCATAAAGTCTAGGCAATTTTTTCATATCGTCAATTTATACATGAGTGCATTGGATATGTTCGCAAATTTATTTGGATTTTTTTCTGGGAGATTCAGGCGTAGTGGTTCAGGTAAATCTGAATAAATCAATTTTCATTTATTTTTGTTGTTTTTTGTTTTTTTTTTCAATTTTTTTTTATTTTAACATTTTATAATAATAAATTGTTTATTAATTTTTGTTCAACTGTTTTTTTTTTCCCTCTGAAATGAATCTATTATAATTTCGAATCAACATAATAATTAATCATTTTATATTATAAATAAATATAATTTTAACAAAAATCAATAAAATATTTATAATTTTTTTTTCAAATATTGTTATTAATACTTTTCTTGTTTTATTATTACATATTTAATTTAGTGCGATTACAGTGCCTTAATCATTCGTAATATTATTAATTTAATTATGTATTAAATATTTTTCAGTATATATAAGACCACTAAAATAGTATATAAATTATTGTATTGGCATTTTTATTAAACAAAATATGTACAAATGCATAATAGAATTTAATTTGGTATATGAAAATATTTGTTATTTTCGAAAATTTTTATAATTTTAAAATTTATTTTTCTGATTACGTACCATCACTTATAAAATGGACTACACTTATAAAGTGAAGTACATTGCCTGTAAAGATGGGTAGTAATCACATTTAATATTATATTATGTAGGTAAAAATTATAATTAGTATTCATAAATAATCATTTTACGATAAAACTTTGAATAATTTTTAAGTGCAAATCATGTAATTTTTTTTTATAATAATTTTTGATTTAGCATTGATCTGATAGTAAATTTTATTAAATTTACAAAAATTTTTAAAATTTGTTAGTTAGCTATTATAATAATATTTATTATAAAATAATTGTGTTTTACGATTGTGCCTTACTATATAATTCGATATTCGCTGTATTCGGAAAAATTTTAAAGTAGCACCAATCAATTTGTATATTATTATGATACTTCCTTTTCATTTCTGTAAATACGATTTTATTTCACGATAATCTAATTATACATACTAAGACCCCTCAGTTATCGTAATAGTTAAAATTGTAATAAAGTTAGCACGCATATTAATTATTAAGATTGTAAAGACAATAATATTTTTAATCAAAAATTTCTTTTAAATTTAGATTCTAGCACAAGATGTTGTTTAATAAAAATTCCTAAATATGTTTTTAAAAATTATGTGAAGTGAATAACATCTTATATAGTAGAGTTTTACATTATATGTATGTTATTCAATATGAAAATTGAAAGAGTAACTCATAGTGTACAAGTAATATTAGAATTAGAATTAAATTGGATACGTTGTATAATTTTCTTTGAACTTATTATTATTTGAAATATAAACACGCAATAAATATAATATAATAGACACGTCATAATTATTAATAATTATTTTATTTATTTATTTACTTCTCTTAAATAATTTGTAAATTGCGATGGTAACAAGTTTATGATTTACTGCGAAGTTTGGTAGAAACTATTACAACTAGCTATATATACAAAAAAAAAATTTTTATTTGGCCGCCAACTACAAGTATACTAGGTGTATAAATATATGTATTGTACTATATACTAGGTTAAGTTTAGAGTGACATAATAGCTGTTGTCATAACAGAGTGAGAGATAATAGAGTGACATATATAGAGTGACATAAAAATATGTCTTAGACATCATAAATTAATATTGATTATTATCTTATATTAATTTTCGGACACTTAATACAAGAAGCTGAAATTCATAATACACATCAAATGATGCATCTAAGAAAATATGAGTATATTATGTCAGCTTGGAAGTTAATAAATACAATTTCCAATATAAAGTTTTGGTTTAATTTTTTTTTCAAGTTTTACCGTTTTCAAAACTTTTATCTATAACTTGCAGGTTTTTCATCTTCAACCAAATAAATATAGACCATATATTATGTGTATTTAATTCTGGTAAAAATCCAAGTAGTGAGGCAAAAAATATTTTTATTCATCCGTTCGCAAAAAAAGAGAGCAACTCTGGGGCATGGGGGCCTTACTATGTATAATTCCATTTTCGTGAAACGTTTTTCACGAAAACGTTTCAGGATCACAAATTATAGGATTTAGTATGAGTTTGGTGGAAATTACACAAAGGAGAACTATAACCTGCACATAGTAGGTCCTTATAAGGCGCACAATAAACTTTTTTTGCTACCGTGACTTAATTTTAAATGAACTCCTGTTAAATGCGATAAAATTCTAATTAAATTGCTGATAAAACTAAAATTTACTAATTTCGATTTAGTTTTCCTGTACAAGAACTCCCAGAAAAATATGTTTTTTTTTTGGACATTATTATTATTATAATTATTATTATTATGACTAATCTTGTCATTTTTTAACTCATCCTTTATTTAAATTGATTGTTTCGCATTGTCTTGTTTTTTTTTCTTTTGCTCTTCTTTTCTTTATAAAAAAAAAAAAAATTTAAATTGTTGCTTCAATATAGAAGAGCCCTTCTTCTTTCGCATATACTTACATACTTACATCTATATACTTTTGTTCTAATCAATATATTAGAATACATAACATTATATACTTCACATAATATTATATACGTAACAATGTAAGACGATGATGTAACTGATTCCGATTTTTTTTTCTTTTGTATTGTTCTTTTGATTCTTGTTTACCGTTTAAGGATAATTTAAAATGGTTTTTAGTGGATAAAAGTATTCTTCTTATAACTTCTTGTACATTATACTTGTTATTATAAAATATCTATATGAGTAAAATAATATTATAATGTATTCAAAATGTAATGGAAAAAAAAGAAAGAGAAAAGGAATTTATAATAGAGAAATGAGAAGAGGGCATGGAAAATAAAGGTTAAACAGAGATAGGCAGAGGAAGAGGAAAAGAGATAGAGAGAAAGAGTGCGAGAAAAATAAAGCAAAAACAGAAAATATATTTTTATTTTTTGCTTCTAAATATTTAAAGCCAATTTTTAGCTTTTTTTCTTGGCCACATTCATACGTACGTAAGCACAATATGTATACATACGTATGCATTTATAAATATATACATATACGAGTATATATATAATTGACGTCGTGTAGACACGCATACATTATTTATGAAGCAAATTGTTTAACCATACATTATACGTACATACCTATACGCTTTTATAGTTGTGTGTATACGTGATGATTTTTTTTCTCTTTTTTTTTTTTTAAATTAAGTATCCTTGAAATGGCACATGTTCTTATCCTCATAAGGATGTGCCTTTTTATATATATTTAGATATGCATAATATTTTTTTTTTGTTTTTTTTTAAAAATAGACATCTAAGT